AAGGATTCGTACTTTGCAGTGAAGAGTTTAATTTTCACTCGTGCCTTGCCCTTAGCCACCAATCAGATAACCTCCTTCTAGTTAAGTCTACCCGCTTAAAGTCTATTTTGCCCTCCCGGTCCCTAAACCCCAGTGCTTTGAAAAAACTGTGCGCCATCATCCTGAACTATAGGGTGAAGCCCTTTACAGAACATTATCAAGTGTTCGGCAGTTTCTTCTTCCTCTCCACACGCACTGCATACTGTGTCTACCCCTCGTATTTGGCCCGGTATGTCTTCGTTAGCAATACTCCCGTCCTGGCCTCAAACAGTAGAGAACTACCCCACGTATTATCATAGATGCTTTCCTTGGCAATTTCCTGCTTAAAAGTTCGATAGATCTCTAGTGCGGACTTCTTAATCATGCCCATTTTCCACATGTCAGTCTCCGTTTCCTTCACTTTCTTCTTAACCGATAATTCTTTTTGGTTTGGCTACCTGCTGTTTTCTAAGTATTTACCCGTCAACTTCCTGGTTCGCTTCCTCCATTTTGTATCGACATTCTTCATGTACAAGTAGCTGAGAACCTTTCTAGCCCAACGCTCCTCCCCCATTTCTCTCAATCGCTTCTCAAATTTTAGCTTACTGCTAGCTTCCCTGCCCTCAAATGATGTCCGTCCCATATCACCTTGCGCTCCCTGATTTGGTGTATTCCCGTGAGCTCCTAAAGCAAGCCTACCTATTCCACGTTGCTTAATTTCTAATCTTGCTTGAACTTCGGACCTCATGCACAAGACCGCATTGCCAAACGTCAGCCCAGGAACCATGACCCCTTTCCATATTTTTCTCACAACATCATACCTATTGTAATTCCACAGTGCCCTCTTTTTCATCACTGCTGCATTCCTGTTACCTTTAGTCGTCACGCATATTTCGTGTTCCCTCAGGTATTCGGTCCCATTGCTTATCTATACACCTAGATATTTATATTTATCTGTTATCTCTAGCGTGACCTCCTGTATTCTAAGCTCACTACCTTCGTTGTCATTGAAAATCATGACTGCTGATTTTTCCTTACTGAATCTAAAATCTAACCTATCTCCCTCATTACCGCAGATGTCCATCAATCTCTGCAAATCTTCCTTGTTGTTGGCCATTAGCACTATATCATCTGCGTGCATTTATGCTGGCAGTGTCTGATCAATAAGTTTTCTTTGTTTGACTAAAGAGAGGTTGAAGCCCAGTCCACTGCCCTCTAATTTGGCCTCTAATCCTTGTAGGTACATCATGAATAATAAGGGTGACAGGGGGCACCCCTGCCTAAGCCCCCGTTTTACCTCTGCAGGCTTGGATACCTGTTTTTCCCACTTCATAACTACCTTGTTACCTTTATAGATACCATTTAAAAGATTAGTGACTACATGTTCCACGCCTAGTGTGTGCAGTATTCCCCACAATTCCTCTTGAACCACGCTATCGTACGCTCCCTTGATATCCAAAAATGCTAGCCACAGGGGCCTGTGTTCCTTTTCTGCTATTTCGATGCACTGCGTCAGTGAGAACAGATTGTCTTCCAACCTGCTGTGTTTCCGAAACCCATTCTGCAGTTCCCCCGGCACCCCCTCATCCTCTATCCATGCCTGCAGTCTTTCCTTTATAATCTGCATCGCCAGCCTGTAGACCACTGATGTCACTGTTACAGGACGGTAGTTGTTTATGTCAGCTTTGTCCCCCTTTCCTTTATAGATCATGCTCATCCTGCTAAGTTTCCATCCGTCGGGAACTTCACCATCGATTATTATTTTGCTCACTGCCTCTCTCAAAGCCTGCTTAGACTTCGGACCTAATGTCTTTATCAGCCTAATTGGAATGCCATCTGGGCCTGTTGATGTACTAGAAAACCCTTTTCTCAGCCCTTTCCCACTCTCGTTGTGAAGATGGAGCCATTGCACCACTTGATTTGTCCTTGTCTATTGTGGTGCATAAAGTACTTCTTTGTTGAAATTTTTCTGTCACCCTTGTTCCTATATATTCAATAGCTTCGTCCCCTTCTAGCCTAGCACCTTGGGCTGTAGTTATAAACTCTGCTCTAGGCTCGTCTCATTTCTTAGGGAGTTTAGATGGTTCCAAAATTTCGCAGCTGCCTTTCTATCTTTTTTATGTATTTCTGCCAGCCACTGAGCTCCCTTTCTTCTAATCTTTTCATTGATCAGAAGAGATGCATCCCTTCTACAGCTTAGAAAGGTTTCCCATTTTTTTTTCAACATCATCTGTCGGTTCACCCCGCTGCTTAGCATGTCTGCGTTCCGTTCCCTAGAGGCTTCCTGACATTTTGATATGGCTCTCTTAACCTCCTCATCCCACCAACTTTTGGGTTTGTGTCTTCTTTTCCGGGGTGACTTGTCAAGCGTCTTAGCAAGCTCTAGCTCAAAGAGTCTAATTAGATTCGTGTATGTCCACACTGTCTTATTATCCTCCGTGATTACTTTCTCAATTTGTTTAGTGGCTATTTCAATTTGCCTTTCTGGATAAAAATTTTCCTGTAGTTGCTCATCTTGTCTCCTTCCCACTTTCACTGCTCTTCCAAAACTTAGCTTGATACGTTTGTTATCACTACCCAGACTTCTGTGTTGTAGGCCCATGTACTCAGATTTGGGTGCAAGTTAAAGAACCCCAGGTGGTTAAAATTTCCGGAGCCCTCCACTAAGGCGTCTCTCATAATCAAATGGTGGTTTTGGGACGTTAAACCCCACATATCAATCAATACCCAGACTTCTGGAGCCACCTTCATCTATGTGCATTCCTCTGAGCTTATCATACATCCTATATGACATCAGTGCATAATCTATCGTGGACTGCAGCCTTTCTACCTCCCATGTTATTTGCCCTTCACACTTCTCGGTACTGTTGCAAATGATCAAATCAAGCCTTTCACACATATCCATGATCATTTTGCCTGTCGGGTCGGTATACCCATCTATATCTTCTACGTGCACATTCATGTCTTCTAGTATAATTATCTCGCACTCTCTTCCTAACTCCTGAATGTCCTTTGATATACACTCTACTATTGCCTGGTTTTCCTCTCTGGCCTTTGCTCCCGTCCACAAGTACACGAAACCAAGGAGTGTCATTTGACCTGCCACTTTCCCTTTTAGCCATAAATGTTTCTTGCATTCCTGCTTGAGCCTTTGCCAGTCTGTACTTTTATGAATGAATGCCCCAATACCGCCCCCCTTTCTGCTGCCTTCTGTTCTATTACAATATTCCCATGCATAGTCCAGATTGTTGGGAGGTTGTTCCATGTCCATGAGATGTGTTTCTACAAATCCGCATACCATCGGCCTCTCCACCCTTAGCTGTTCTTCTATCTCTTCCCATTTCAGCCTGTTTCTACCACCCTGCATGTTAATATACCCTATGTCTGAATTGGCTCAGCGCTCATGGCTAAGTCTATTTATGCCCCGGACTCTACGTATCTTAGTAATTGGTGGCACGTTGGAATCGTCCACCTGTCGAAGAGTCTCCCTGGTTGTTTTCCTCGTTACTAGCTATCCTGCTCCCCGAAGGACTCGCTTGCCCCCCAAAAAAGCTACTGCGCGTTCTGCAAGTCGCCAACCCACCTCATGACCTAGCCGCCCATCGAAGTGTATTCTGTCTCGTTGAAAACCACCCCACCTATGGACTTCTCTGTTTATTTCCACCACCTCAAAGCCTTTCTCTCGAGTCATCCGCCATATCTCTTGGTTTGTGTTGACAACCGTTCTTTGCAGGTTGCTATCACGCACCGGTACCTCCGGTATCGTGCATATCACTACCTCTACCTTAGGAGAAGTGGCGCGCATGTCATCGACGCCTTTCGCCAGTGTGGTTGCTAGTCCTGCTGTATCTTCATTTAAGACATCGTTTAAACCGCCTGAAATTATCACGAGGTTTCGTCTATCAGCTGTAGTTTTGAGTTTTGCACTCGCTTGCCTCATGACTGCTTCAAGCTTGCGTCCTGGGAACGCCCCTACTGCAACCCTCTTGTCACCTCTTACCCTTTCTTTGATGGCTTCTGTGCATCGGTTTAAATTCGAGTCCCCGGCGATTATCACATGCTGTGACTTTTCAGCTGGAGTGTCCTGCACCTGGGGGCTACTTGCACCTTGGACGCTGGCTGCTTTGTCCCCTCCCAGCCCCACCACGACCTCGCTGAAGCTGGGCCTTGCGACAGTTGAACCGGCTAAACCTGTTTTTTCCAAACTTGCTTGTTCTTCCTTCTCCACCGTTATGGTTGCCGGTTCTCTACTGTTCTCTCCGTAGGCCGCTTCTTTGTTCAGCTTCGCTAGTGCTTTCTCGGTGGACTTCAGTCTTTCTCCCATTGCCCTCGTTTTCTCTTGCTCTGTCACCAATGCAGTCTCGAGCTCATCGATTCTCACCAGCAGTTCACTTTGGGCAACCATTATTTTCTCCATTTTTCCTCGACCTCACATTGCCTACACTTCGCGTCAGCCTCTTCTCTATCTGCTTCTACGCTCTGGTCCACTTTCAAATCTACTCCACATCCTGAACACTTTACAGTCTTTTTAACCATGTCTTTCTGACACCAATTGTCCTTATACTCGATAATTACTAAACTTGAGCCGTGCACTACGAAAAAAAGAAAGTCTAAGCTCTACTACAAAAATTTGCGTGTTCAATGTACGCGCACCTCCCCCACGGGGTGGCGAAAGAAAAAAAAAATTTCAAACACATACACCCGCACTAACTATTAAATACCTGGTGACTAGCCCCCGAAAAAGCTGTACCATAAGATAAGTGCTACGAAGATTTCAACCGCTGCCTTATAATTATAAAGACAAGCTCAAAACATGCAAAAACACTTATCTGCGCAGTCGATCCGGAGCGCTCGAAAAACACGTCCATCCACTGTGACAGCCCGAACAGAACCTAATAGTGTTCGTCGCGAGCGCCACCGTGCGGAGCTTGTTTAAAACTGAAGGCAGGCCAACTCCTTTGGGAGCGCGAGCCATTCCTCAGGCATCTTTCTAGAGGAGGCGTTGGTTTCATTTGATGCCGGTTGTACTAATGGTAGTGTATCGGTGTTCTGTGGTAGTAAGCTTTTGACAGCGCTTGAGGCTCAGCCGTCTACTGCATGTGGGACGTCCTGCCACATCAGAACCATCAGATATGCATCTGCTTTTTCAGCGCCTTGTGCCTCTGTGAACCTTTGTGTCAACTAGAGAGCGAAACACCGCCCCAGAAGGTGTGCCATCGCAATGAGCCAGCCGCGCTACGTGTGTGAACTGTGCAATTACAGCTGCGACAGCGTTGAATCCGAACGAAACCATTTGAAAACTGTGAGACATTTCGTCGAATTTCTGAAGTACCACCTCTGGCAGCACGAGTAAGTCTTCATCAATCAACCTTACGCGAGTATTTGAGGAACGGGCAAGTTAACTCGCATCGAAAATGTTAGCATATGTATATAGAAAAAGCACTGCATGGGCCGTTATTATCTGCCCGAGCCGGGCACTCCGTTTACTTGCCCTAGCCCGGCCAGGTGACTCAAAATCGAGACCCGGACCTGACCCGAACCTGAGAAAAAGTTTCCCTGGCCCGGTCCGACCGCAGATCGGGCCCAAACCTAATGCCCCATGTTCTACAGCCCCTTGGGTTTAGGAATTAAGCGGTTGAATAACCTGCCCTGTGTCCAAGGGGGAAGATGACGTTCCATAAAATAAGCACTATAGCCTCGTTGTGACATTATATGTAGCAGTATTACTAAAACAAGTAACAAATAGTTATATGACGGGCATTATTCGCTGCCAAAAAGCCCCCGCTGGAACTCTGCGCTGACGTGCTATGCAATGAAGGTAAAGCAAAGACTAGCTTCTTACTGCCTTATGGTTGCCAGGATTCAAAATTTTTTTCTCCCTTAAAACAACTACTCTTTTGAGACTTTGTACGTGTCTTACCATCAAACTATACTATGCAACAAAATATAAGCCATATTTTTAATTGGACCGCTACATTGCGCAAAGGACAGTTTGCAATAATCTGCAAGCCGGCTTTCCTGTAAGGCTCGTTTTCCAACCAAGCATTTCGTTCACAGACTGCTTTTCTCGCTCATTGTGCTTTTACCCACGCTTTTACCTCTCCGAATTCCAGCGAAGGGTGTGCCAGCTTAGGCTAGTTGGTATGGCATGACGATAGTTATAGCGCGAGAACAAAACGACAACACAGTGCCTTCGTCTCCTTCTTGTCTCTGTGTCGACATTTTGTTCTCGCACTATAACTATCGTCCAGCGAAGGCACGCGAGTACAACACAATGAGAGAGAAAAGCAGTCTTTGAACGAGAGTTTTTGGTTGGAAAACAAACCTTACAGAAAAGCGGCCTTGCAGATTATTTCAAACTGTCCATTGAGCCGCAATGCCAGTCAAAATGCTATTTTTTCCAACTTTGTCACGATGTTTTGGCAATCTTTTTGCTTCATTTGCTCCCGAAGTATTTTAATCATTTAAGATGGGAACCTATAAAACAGAAAATGTAAACACATCACTCGCAAAAAAAATTATAAAAAAATATAAACATACAATATATTGCAATTTTTAGCCAAAGCAAAAAAAAATAAAGTTAAAAGAAATAATGTATTATCTTAGTCTTGAAAGAGTAGTGCCTTGACATCAAGGAAAAATTATTTCATTGGAATTGCTCAGACCAGTAATTGTATAAATTTAGTTTGACGCGATTTCACCTAGGTCCCCAACAATGAGTGCCCTCTAGGCTACACAAAAACTTTTTTTAGAAACACTGTGCCTTAATAACTACTAGTCACATTCACATATGCCTACACGATCATTTTGGGCATGATTCATGGTTCTAAATTGACGGGGTACACTTGATATTAAATGACTCCCCCAATGGTATATATATATATATATATATATATATATATATATATACACACTATATATATATGAGATCTAACAGACAGTAATGCCAAGGAATGTACAGGGGAAGTTATTAGAACCAATGGAATGTAAATAAGAAGGAAGAAAAGTGGATGAAAAAAGACATAAAAGCTTGATGTTTTATTTTTATGAACGAAGACATTTATGCAATCTGACACGAGAACTTCAGTTTTCAGGAATTCGACGGCTACATTTAGCAAGAAATCTTTACCGCTTCACTTCGGTAAAAGACTGTGACAATGTCCTGTGGCATTCCGCCTCCTAGAAAATTGCTAAATGTTGGTGCCACACAAGCTTCCAAACAAGGATTTTAAACCAGTCTCGCGGAAATCTTGTGGGAGTGTACTAGCTGCAGGCTGTGCCTTGTTGTGGAGTTGCCCTTGTTGTTGGTCCTTACAAAGAGTTTATTATACCTTCACAACAGGGGGCCCTCATGCTCATGCAAATTAAATCGCTTTTACATTCTCAGGAGTCATGCATTTTCATGTTGCTTACATGTGTAATTAATTTCATGCTAATTTATTATGCATTGGTAACATTTCAAAATAAAATATTACTGAATGTGGATGTTTGTTCTTTAGGAATTCGTAGAAACCGTTGTAGTAGAATCGTGAAGTGCAGTGCGTGTGAAGGTGACAAGATGAGTACGAAGTGACGACACTGAGGACAGAGGGTATATGTATATAGTCAGAAACAGAAATTAATATACAAAAAGGACAAACTTTGCAGTACCTACTGTACTCATTGTTCATTTGTTTAGACCCTATAGTATAGTCGTGGTATAGGCTTTGCATGGAGCTCATGCCCCAACTATCGAGATTTTGCTCTTGTTTAAAAAAAGAAGTTGGTTAACAAGCCAGTTGCGATAGTTATTCAGAAATGCCATCAGGAGATCAGCCAATCAAATATCATTGAAGGTAACCACCACTGTAAAGTTTAGGCACAAGTTAAGGTCTGACTAGTAACAAAGAGCAAAGCGAAATCAATAGCCTTATTGATCCCCCTTAAAAGCACAATCAAGCATTCTTCCTGTGGAAGTATTCTTTGGTCCCTCGTACACTTCCGCGCAGCCATGCTTATCTGGGCGTTCATTACTACATGATGTCAATGCGCCTATGCATAAACCCTCAAACCATGGCTTACGATTGTCAACAATGAAAGGGAAATAGCCACCATGCATGGGCTGGAGATGTACTCTGCAAAACGAGTGAAAGCAGTCCCCCGCTTTCACGCTTTGGGTGGCACTTCTGGATTGTAGTGTCAATGAGTTCCATGGGCACATGTGCTTTTGCAGTCTTAGAAAGGTGTCATTGTTAAAAAGGGCTGCAGAGTGATCTGTTCTAATCATTTCAATGCGCTCAAATGCTGGGTGCCTTGAAGTCCGGTGATAGCAGTGCTGGCATCCATGCCTTCTGGCCCTTCGTCAGGCGAGCTCTCCATTATTCAGCTCTGCAGAAGAAGTAGTGGCACGAAAAGCACCCTTATTTACACTTTTCGAAAGCCTCAAAGCGGCAATCGGTTCTTTGCATAGTCATCATCAGCCTGACTGCAGGACAAAGGCCTCTCCCATGTTCCGCCAGTTAACCCGGTCCTGTGCTTGCTGCTGCCAATTTATACCCGCAAACTTCTTAATCTCATCTGCCCACCTAACCTTCTGTCTCCCCCTAACCCGCTTGCCTTCTCTGGGAATCCAGTTGGTTACCCTTAACGACCAGCGGTTATCCTGTCTATGCGCTACATGCCCGGCCCATGTCCATTTCTTCTTGATTTCAGCTACGATATCCTTAATCCTCGTTTGTTCCCTAATCCACTCTGCTCTCTTCTTGTCTCTTAAGGTTACACCTACCATTTTTCTTTCCAGTGCTCGCTGCGTCGTCCTCAATTTAAGCTGAACCCTCTTTGTAAGTCTCCAGGTTTCTGCTCCGTAGCTAAGTACCGGCAAGATACAGCTGTTATATACATTTGTCTTGAGGAATAGTGGCAATCTACCTGTCATAATTTGAGTGTGCTTGCTGAATGTGCTCCACCCCATTCTTATTCTTCTAGTTACTTCAATCTTGTGGTTAGGCTCTGCGGTTATTACCTGCCCTAAGTAGACATAGTCCTTTACAACTTCAAGCGCACTCTTACCTATCTCGAAGCGCTGCTCTTTTCCGAGGTTGTTGTGCATTACTTTCGTTTTCTGCAGACTCATTTTGAGACCCACCTTTCTGCTCTCCTTGTCTAACTCCGTAATCATGATTTGCAATTCGTCCCCTGAGTTACTCAGCAATGCAATGTCATCGGCGAAGCGCAGGTTAATAAGGTACTCTCCATTAACTCTCATCCCTAACTGTTCCCATTCTAGGCTTCTGAAAACCTCCTGTAAGCATGCGGTAAATAGCATTGGGGAGATTGTGTCCCCCTGCCTTACACCCTTCTTGATTGGTATTCTGCTGCCTTTTTTATGAAGCACTATGGTAGCAATTGATCCCCTGTAGATTTCTTCTAGGATGTTTATATATACTTCATCGACGCCCTGATTCCGCAGTGTCTGCATGACGGCTGATATTTCTACTGAATCAAACGCCTTCTCGTAATCTATGAAGGCTATGTATAGTGATTGGTTATATTCTGAGCATTTGTCTATTACCTGATTGATAGTATGAATGTGGTCGATTGTTGAGTAGCCTGTTCGAAATCCTGCTTGTTCCTTTGGTTGATTGAATTCTAATGTTTTCTTCACTCTGTTAGCAATTACCTTTGTATAGCTTGTATGTTACAGAGAGCAAGCTAATCGGCCTGTAATTCTTCGAGTCCTTGTCATCTCCTTTCTTATGTATTAAGGTGATGTTAGCATTCTTCCAAGACTCTGGTACTGTTCTTGTCAGGAGACACCTCGTAAACAGGGTGGCTAGTTTTTTTTAACACAATCTGTCCTCCATCTTTCAGCAGATTTGATGTTACCTGATTCTCACCAACAGCTTTGTAAACAGGGTGGCTAGTTTTTTTAACACAATCTGTCCTCCATCTTTCAGCAGATCTGGAATTACCTGATCCTCACCAGCAGCTTTGTAAACAGGGTTGCTAGTTTTTCTAACACAATCTGTCCCCCATCTTTCAGCAGATCTGATGTTACCTGGTCCTCACCAGCAGCTTTGCCTCTCTGCATGCTCTCCAATGCTTTTCTGACTTCTTCTATGATTACTGGTGGGGTGTCATCTGGGTTACTGCTATTTCTTATAGTATTAAAGTCGTGGTTGTCCCGGCTACTGTACAGATCTCTGTAAAACTCCTCCGCTATTTTAACTATCCTATCCATATTGGTAGTTATTTTGCCTTCTTTGTCCCTTAGTGCATACATCCGATTTTTGCCTATCCCAAGTTTCTTCTTCACTGCTTTGACGCTTCCTCCGTTTTTCAGAGCGTGTTCAATTCTCTCCATGTTATAC